AACTGTTTCTTTACAATAGATTTGAAAAAATTCAAGGGTATATCTTAGAAACCCATGACTAATATTGCCTTTAACCTAAACATTCGTAAGTTGCATCTACGAGTGTATTCTTCATAGGTTTTTTGAATCAAGCTTGTATTTCTAGCTCGTGACTTTGCTCTAAAGGTGGACTTTAGGCTTGACTTGAATTCTGATTGTTCCAGTCTTCTTTGCCTTAATATCTATATAGTCTCCCAAGTGTTTGAGCTTTGAAGTATGAAATCTCGAGCACTTGATTATTCCTTCCATGTGGTCCTTTCCCTGAAAAGGAAAAACATATGCGACTCGAAGGTATATATGATTTAGATGATGACTGCTTAACCCTTTATATTTCCATCAGAAAAGTTGTAACCCTAGACTGGGAATTATGTTACTTCCGCGTAATATAAAACTATCATTTTCTCAATATATCCTGATGCCAATCTGGATGATCCATTATCCCGCCACAATCATAGCTGTTTTGACAGTGGATAAGTTTGTAACAAAAGCATATTATGTAGGTGAGAGATAGTGATAACTTAAGAAACTATACGTGAGTAGTTTGATTACCTTTTCAAACAGCTTCATCCGATGATTGCTTGACCGAAGCAGAGAATGTCGTTAAAGCAGGCAATGAGTCACCATGTGGACTTTGTGTACTTAGCATGAACGAAAACTTCGACCAGAAATAACAAGCTTCAACAAAGTCCATCAAATGCATTTTCTTGGGGTACTCTCATCTAAGGGTTACAACTAACAAATGCTATGAACCTACTACACATAAGTATTTTGTCTCAGCAAATGTAACATTCAAGACATCCACATACTTCTCATCCAATCCACTAAAGCCATCAAATGTTACATTCAAGACATCCACATGCTTCTCACCAAATCCACTAAATCAAAAGGCCGTATGTACAGTTCTTGTCATTCCAACTTTTCTGACTCCAGCTCTTTCATATATGACCCTAGTTGGAGCACACCTTTTTAATCATTCCAGATAGCCAGACCAAGTTTAATTAAAAGTATACAACACCCCATCCTCACTTGGAATCCTTATCTACTTTAGAGTTGACATATCCAAAGGTGTTGTTTAAGTTGTATGCTTATACCCTGTGGCGTATCTTTTATTTAAACAATTTCAAAAACTTCTTCCTTTTGTTCTTGTGCAGTGTTAATCCATTTAGACTTATTGGAGTGGGACTGACAGTCTGGACCTTTGCTACTGCTGGTTGTGGCCTGTCAATTGATTTCTGGTCCATTACCATATGCAGAATGTGAGTAGATTATGCTGGATCTTTCAATAGCTGTCTTCTATTACATGTTTTTTGTACTTCTTTTAGTTTTTTTCTTTTAGTGGGATGTTGATCCTATTTTTTTGTAAATTTATTTCCTCTACCAGGCTGGTCGGTGTTGGTGAGGCATCTTTCATAAGCCTTGCTGCTCCATTCATTGATGACAATGCCCCAGTTGATCAGGTTTGATTTGCAGCGTGATTCAGTTATGCAGCGGTGCTGACTCTGAGTACCTGATGCATGCTTGTACTGCTGATCTTTTGTTTCTGTTTTGAGACTAAAAAAGATTTTGATTAGTTTTGCATGCTATATCTGTTGCTAATGCGATGGGTTGTTCCTCTGCTTGTAGTTCTGGTTCATTAATGTGCAACATTCTTTACGCTTATGAGACAATGTGTAAGCTTTTGCATCCTTTTGTTTTAAAAAATGTTATCTCTATTTGACTTTGTGAGGTGTCCAATAAGGTATAAGCGTATTAAATGGGGCAGTGATTACCTTTGCTGTACATTTGAAGGATTCTCTGCTTTGACATGTTACCTAGTCCATGGATTACCATGTCTCTTGATAAAGAAGAGCAATCACAATTCCTATAGTCAAATATTTAAGATATTGTAGGTTAGGCTCGATTGAACTCTCTTGTTAGCGTGCTTAAAGCAAGTTGTGAGGCAGTTATTCCTTTTTGATTGGTGGATCTGTTGAACGTATCTAGATGTCATATTCAATTTTGTTCATGATGGTATCTGTCAGAAAATGAGCACAACCAGGCTTTATGCAAGTTGTTTCCTAGAATTATCGTTTTCCGCTTTTACTAAACTGTATGGTACCATGTTTTTATTGTTATTCCCTAAAAACATGGTGGAGATGCTTTGATATGGACAACAATATTTCATAA